TCGGTGGTAATTAAATGCTCAGGAGACATTCCTTCCAATCCTTTTAGTTAATCAGTCTCTCTTTCCATCATTCCTTTAAGGCGGCAATAACTTAGTAAACTGTGCCAGTTTGACAGCGAGCCGGCATGCACAATAGGCCTGTTTAACTGAAGACATATTGAGGGGCCACAGTAGGCAAGCATGGGGGTAAATTATAAAAATGATTGATGGTTGAATATATTTTAGCCGCTTTAATGTCCGATTCCGTTCCGAAGCTTTAAGGCTGGAAGGACATGATTGGCTTTCCAGAGACTTGTGGACTGTTCTTGTTCTATGTACATTTTATAAAGACAAATCCAATTATATTAAATCAAACTCTAAATGTAATGTGTGTTTTACAATGAGTTTATTAAAATGTTTAAAGCTGTTAAATTATGGAAAAATATAAAATGCAATAAAAGCACAATTGAAGAATTCTATATAAATAGCCCTGTCCATTTGTTGTATTTATTTTTATCTTTTTGAGCTTGCATTTATTTTACTTTTACGTTTTTGATAGCGATGTTTGCGTGTTTTGATTTCCTGTTGCTAATAGATGTTTTAATATTTTGTATTTCTGAAAGCCATGTTGTTTGGTAAATGCAAAAAAAAGTGGTCTCCTGAATAGCACCTAGCCATGTCAATCAAATGTACAGTGAACACGCCCACTCGGTCCTGAGAGGGGGTCTAATTAGGCGATAAGTGAAAACACCAATGGGGGCGGTCAATGTTCAGTCACTTTTTTTATATAATGTTGCTACTTTTTACCATGCATATGTACTTTTTCAGTTTATAAACATGTGCTTGCCTCTTTTTGTATTATGTTAGTGTACTCTATTTTTGCTATTTTTGCCCTGTAACAATGTGAACTACCCTGCTGTGGGACAAATCAAAGGTTTCTGTTTCTGAAGAAATGCACCTCCTGTACTCCCTCCGTTTCCTGGATGTCTTCTTTTAAAAATGGGTCAGTTTCCTTCCACAGCTTTTTTTGTTAGCAGGTTAAGTGTCGGGGGCTTCCTCAAAGGAGCGAAATCAGTGAACCAGCGGTCACGGACCATTACTCACATACAGTTGAGACATTCCTCTTAATCGGCATTACTCACTTCTGTGCGCCTTTTCTCTGTGTGCTTATGTGTGTGCAGTCATGTGAAGACTAGATAAATATGACTCACTGATTTATACTTGTCATACATAATCATTTATGACAGTTTGTTAGTGAGCAAAGACTCCCTGTATGGTGACGGGATGTGTGTTTAAGCTGGAATAGGAAAGCAGTCTCACTCTTTTTCTATTTCCCACCCATGCTGTGGATGATTCACACTTACCCAGTAGATACCTTTGAAGGATGCTTGAGCATGACATTTTCTCCAAGATGCTGCAGCCTCCGCGTAGTGGATCGTCGCTGTGTGACAGAAAAAAAGACCATAAGGAATAAATATAGAAAACTTGTGTCACTTAATCATATAGGGACATGTGAAGCGCAATAGGTGACCAATGAAGTGTGTGTTCACATGTTAAAGGATTAAGTGCTCTTCAGAATCAGATTAAACATTCAAATCAGAAATCCATTATTCGTCGTACAGTGGGTAATTTAACAGCCTTACAACAGCAAGGT